ATACTGTCAACTACTTACAAATCACCTCTTACAAATGTCCTTGGGCAACCACCAACACAATGCTGTTACACCTATTAAACAAAACTGGCTACTTTTTCCAGCCACTACCTGAAATCTTATATTAATTTTGTTTATTCCTAGAAAAGCTGAATCTCTATACAGCATGCCCAAATTAAAAAGGCAAAAGGCATCTCTGTCCTGAAGAATCCCTTTCTTACCTTTGCCAGTACTGAATTTATCCAGCTAGTGAAGGTTTTCTTCTGTGTAAACTCCCGCTGCACTGAGGGGAAAAAAAAAAAAGAAAAAACGGTTAATGGAAAAAATGATCTGGTTTTATTTCTTTTTCTCAAAGAGATACATGGCAGCTGTCTCAAACCTAAGGTCTGATCTTCCTAATATTAAGATATGATTTAATATTAGTCTTTCTCAACTCCTATTTTAGAGCTGGTATTTTCTTGCTTGCAGAGATGATACTGCAAGGACCTCTGGAACCATCAAGCATACTTCTGCTGGATGAAGCAAAGAGCAACTAATGAAGGTTTTCTCAAAAGCTCAGCACATGTAAACACATCATCCTACAGAATCATGTGCCTAGAATAACGCCATCCGTTCCTAAGTGTTCCTTGAAAGACGCAGTACAAGATCCATTCTTTTAATTCATCAAAGTTCGCACATGGGGTTGGGTGATGAGACCTGTATGGAGGCTGGAGTTAGGTGATAAATGCAGATCTGTAAGTTAAGCCACACAACAGGCTGTCTTGCTCAGCTGAAGAGCCGGGGAGAGTTATCAGTCTGTCACAGGGGAATAAACCCTCTTAGAGCATCCTTTTCAGAGCTGGGCCCTCTATGGGGAATGCAGATCATTAATCTGGCCAAACAGGGGCACAGAGCATCTTAAAATAGGAGGGAGAAAGAGGGAAGTACTTGAACTCGTGCCCTGGTAAAAAATGGTGAAATGGGACTCAAAGTGTGCCCTGGTCACACAGAGATCCAGCTCTTCACCCAGGTGCTGCAGAGTGGAAGACAGGGATAAACTACCAGCAGTTTTGAGGGGACACAGAAGTTGGTTAAGCCCGTGTTTCTAAAATCAGAACACTGGAACTGTTTCTTACACCAGAGTACAGATCAAGAGAGGGGAAAGCCTTTCTCCATGGCAGAGATGAAGATAAGCCTAGTTCCCCCAAAAGGTGAAGCAGAGCATGCACAGCAGAGGCAAGACCAGACCACCTCCCCAGCTCTGTCCCTTGTCACAGCCACTGGATCACACCACTCCCCAGCCCACGCTTCCACCCAAATCCCACAAATCCACCCAAAAAACAAGCCAAAAAGCAGTCTCACTCCAAGGGGCTTGTCAGGAGCTGTAGAAGGGACATTATCTCCTCTCTCTTCCCCATTTGAATGGAAACCCAAAAGGTCACATGGGTTTTTAACAGCCCAGACATTACAAAGCAGGTCAAATAGAGTATTAACTGAGGGAGGGCAAGATCATACAGTTAGGAGAGTAGATGTTTTGGTCACCCAAACCACCATCTTTAGCTTGCACCAGCTGCATGGCTGTCCCTGGCACTCCCTCTGAGGCAGCTGCTAGCTCCTCCATGCATGGCTATGGACACCTGTAGGCCTGAAATGCTCCTGTCTCTCACTGAAGGCAGCAGAGAAGCCAAGCCTGAGAGGTGGGAGAGGTGCAAAGCAGAGAGAAAGCACGAGGCCCTCTCCCTGCTGCGCCGAGTGGCAGGAGGGACTGCTTTGAGCAGCCAGGCGCAGAGGATGGGGCTGTGGGTGCTGGGGTCATGATGACACAGAGGCTTAGAGCATCTGCATATGGGGATGCAGGTGGGATGGGATGCTGGCCCACGATCCTGCCAGAAGGACAGGAGAGGATGGTGTGTGTCCTGCACCACGGCCCCACTGCAGCTCCCTGAGGAGCTCCCTCTCACATGGGAGAGGCAGCAGGAGGCTGTGAGCAAGCCATCAGCTTGCAAGAAGAAACACATGTGGGAGATGGGGTGGAAGCAGATGATCCCTTTTACCTCTGAAAGCATGCTCTTGCACAAAAGACTAATGTGAAGGCAAGTTTAACATCATAAGGCAAGCGCAAGACTACTCAGCAATAGATATGGATGTTTTTGTAGGCTGGGCAGAATGAAAGACATGGAAAATATCAAGCCCTTGGTGGGGGAAAAAAATCCTGACTGCTCTGCCCATGAAAACGAAAATGTCACTCAAAGGAAAATGTCCCACACTTCATTACGCTCTGAGAATTTGGCAAACACTAACCCCAGTCCTGGGTGGCTTTTCATCACCCAAGACAGCCTGAAGAGCTTGCTGCGCAGAGCTTCATAGGCTCGTGAAGCAGAGCAAGCCGCTTAAGGATAATGCAGCCTACTGCTTCTAACCCCTCCATCCGACCCACAGACCTCCTTCTGCTTCACCAGGCGGGTGAGCAGCGAGAAAAACATTCATGCGTTACCTGAGTCGAGGGCTGTTTTGCATCCCGTAGCTAACACGTCTTTCAACAGTCCTCCTCTACTCCGTAATACTATAAACCTGTTGGAGCATGAAACAGTCGATTTCCCCTGCTTGCTGCATTGTTTTATGCTTCTTTTTAAATACCACAGAGATCGTGATGAACAGTAAGGTAAGGGCCATCTTAAAGGCACGGACAAAATGAAATCTCAAAACTCTGGGGTTTTTGCCAGACAGACCAACGAACGTCGCAACGTTCACAAGGAGGACACAAACAGCATTGAGACTGGCTTCATGTTAGCGCAGGATCCAACCACACCCTTTGGTTGAATACTCATGCAGGAACAGTTCCAATTACCTAACGAGCAATTATTGAGTAGCTGCACTCAATTTTATCAGGCCAGCAAGGCTGGTATTGCTGGCACTTGAAAAGGGACGGAAAGCAAATATTAACTACTTTGCCTGACGCCAGTGACTCTTCCAGCTGCAGGTCCTGCCAAACACACACTACTGCTACTGATATGGAAAACATGCTTCTGGGGTTGGTTACAGAAAGACGGTTAGGATAAGGACATCTGATCTTCCTTTGGCTGAATCCCTCCATATTAACATGCACCATTATGAAACATGGGCCAGATACTGCAAGTGTTGATTGACGTAGGCAGCTCTCAGGTAAATGTGTCACCTGGTGAAAGGACAGGGCGGTTATTTCACCATACACACCAAAGCACATCCTGCACCCTCCCCAAGCTACACCCGTTGCCTAGTGCAACCCACCGGGCTGCCTTCTGAGCAGATGCCACCTCAGCTGCAATGTGACTTATTTTCCTACTCAAATAAATAATAATAATAAAGTCTCCTCCTGAATGAGGAACAAGACTCCATGCTTCCATCCAGTACCTGAAGGGGGCCTACAAGGAAGCTGGGGGGGACTTTTTACAAGGGCCTGTAGTGACAGGACAAGGGGGAATGGGTTTAAATTGAAATCAGGGAGGGTTAGATTAGATATCAGGAAGAAATTCTTCACAGAGAGGTTGGTGAGGCACTGGCACAGGTTGCCCAGAGAAGCTGTGGATGCCCCATCCCTGGAAGTGTTCAAGGCCAGGCTGGATGAGGCTTGGAGCAACCTGGTCTAGTGGAAGGTGTCCCTGTCCATGGCAGGGGGGTTGGAACCAAATGATCTTTAAGGTCCCTTCCAACCCAAACCATTCTGTGATTCTATGCTTGCCAGTATTTCCCCCGACTGTAGTGCAGCAGTCACTCTGTTTCCATCCAGGCCACACAACACACAGCTCAGTACAGATGTTCTGCACTGTGGCAGGCAGTTGTATTGCCATTTCAGGCTAAGTGTGTTTTCCTTCCCAGCTCCCCTGTAACTACTGCTCAGAGGCGCTAATGATTTAATCAAGCTCTCAAATTCTTATCTCTACCATGTGGTTAATTAATACGGATTTTTATTTTTATGAGGATGAATGGATTCTTTGTTAGGCCTTTTTATAGGACTCTAAGTGACCTTCGTTTTCTCTTGCCCTAGTTTTCAAAATGCCACTGACCCAGAATAAAAAAAGCTATCAAAAATCCCCCTGATCATTGCCTTCACTTTGGGCCAAAACTCACCAAGCCCAAAACTGGATCTGAGATAACAAAGTAAGAACCTGCTAACCTGAAAACACCCAAAATCTAGCACATTTCACCCTGTGTTTGAAAGCTAATCTTCAGAACAACTCTTTAGGGGGAGGATAATACATCAAAGAAGCGTGTCACGTAGGCCAGCCAAAAATCAATACACACTGCTGGACAATGACTGTTTTATCCAGTAATGAGCTATCAACAAGTGCTACAAACTAGACTAATCATTAAGGGCTGGAGCATGGGGATACGGCAGGGACCACAGCAGTGGTCCTTCTCCCAGGAGGAAGAGGAGGGCAGAACACTGCCAGCCACGGTTCTACTCTCAGCCTTCCTTAAACAGGGATATGGAAAAGCCATACTTAAAACTAATCTCCTCTCCTCTGTTGCCTTTCGTGCTTCTCTTCCCAAGGTCAGAGATGGCAGCTCCAGGGAAAGCACGGTCTCCTTCCTCGGCAGGGAGCTGAGGGAAGCAAACCACAGCAGAACAGATCTAGCCTGTCCGTCCACACTCAAACAACTTCACCGAAGAGCAAAGAGCTTTTCTTCTATTGTGAGGATCAGTGCATCACTGCCAGTGAACCATGTACAACTGTGTGGCTTTTTCTTAAAAAAAAAAAGTTAAACAATTAATTTAAATTAATTAGCGCAAGCCTGTCTGTCATCTACCCATCTCTGTTTCACCAGAAGGAATTACCTCTTGTGTATGATATTTTTATATCTTCCTTTCACCAGTCAGGTCACCTGAGGCTACACCTACAATAGCAAACACTGCAGGCCAACAGGAACAGATCAGCAGTTCAAAAGAGCTGGTGTTCGGGACGTAGCGTACCCACCACGTACGTAGGGAAGAATGGTTGTGTTTGACTAACTCTAGCCTTAATTCCATTCTACCATCTTGGAGCATTTATTTCAGTTTCATCCAAAATAACCCTTTCCACACTCTCCGATACCTCAGTAAAATGAACCAAAGCATGGTCAGCAGGGATAACTGGGGCAGCACTGTTGGTAAGAACTAAAACACCAAGCAGGTACATGCTGAAAATGACAGGAACTATGAGAAGAGCCCCTAAGTACTTGCCAACCCAAAGAGAGGGTGAGTAATTCACCCCTGAGCCCTTTCTATAGTCCCTTCCCTTTCACCCAGTATCAAAGTTTCATTTTCTGCAGACAGGAAAGCAGGGGAGGGGGGAAGAAAAAAAAAAAAAAAAAGAGTTATTTCCAGCATTTATGTTCAGCAACATGGTGTTACACAATTAAAAACAAACACAGGGCTTTGGGGTTTTTTTCCCCAAGATTAAGAGGTTTATCCAAAGCCCAATGAAGATAATGAAAATATTTCTACAGGAATGGGTCTTTTCAAATCCAAATATCGTATAAATATTAACTAATTAACTCCTACCATGTCTATGCGGCAAGTGGCAACCTTCCTTCCTACACTATTCCTTTCAACCTTCTTTTCCTTTTGAAAGCACACTAATTATCCAGTTTACTCAAAGCGCTGCTAACTCAGGAACTGTGTTCACACTGAATTTTGCCCTCCCGGCTTTCCTAAACTCTTTTGCTCTTCTCATTGCCAGGATCCTGGAGCACCTCCAAATCACCACCATCTTTAGTGCCACAACAGCCGTATTAGTAGTGTACCTGACCTCTGGATGACTTAAGTGGATCTCAAATATCCTCCTTTTTGGATATGCACGCGATCTACTACAAGCTGCACAACAAAATCTGTGTGCACGTATCACCGTATTTTCAATTTCACTTGAAGAAAAATCGTTCACAAAGGGTTAGACATAACTTCATGAAAACAGCATAATTCATTTATATCATTAAACACTTCAAAAAGGGTTTTAGCAGCTACGTTCTTATATGATCATCCTTTGGGCTACAGTAATAAACAGTAACATGCACACAGATTAATAAGCAGAACCAAAAATTAGGACCCCTGTAGTTAATTAAACAGTGAAAGACTAAGAACATGCCCCAAACTCCGAGAGCTGAAACGCACTCTTTTGTGTCTGAATTAGCCCAGCAAGCATGGAAAGAAAAGGGAAGACAGAGCCCTGCACAGGCTCGGTGGGAAAGGCCACACATAGGGTCTGTTTGCTCTCCTAGAGGAAAAAGGGGAAGGATTTGTGCATGGGAGGGCAAGTGGAGATTTACATCCAAAAAGCAAAAAATGTTCCCACTCCAGAGCACCACAACTGCACTCAGCTTCTGCTGTAGCCACCCATCCGCAAAGGGCTGCAAATTCCCTGCGCTGCAGTCCTGCACTCAGGCTCATCACTAAAGAGTACTCACACCTCCAGTGGTTCCCAAAACATTGCCGAAGCCCTTCTCTTGCCAAAGGAGGGGACATGCCTCCTCATTTCAGGAAGCTGAAAACAATTATGGACCCCAACTGTGCCTCTTCCATTCACAGAAGGCTGAGTGCCAGGCTGGAGGACAGGGCACAGATAATGCTGGTCTTAATCTGATTTAATTTTATTATAACATCTAGGGCAGAGGGAGGGAAAAAAAGAACAGAAAGGAAGGAGCCCAAGTCCTGACATCATGCGATTTCATAGCAATTTCAATACTCTTGGCAGGAAGGGAGCGTGATAACCATTCATTACTCTTTTGTTTGTGGAGATCAGCTTGGATACTGGAAAAGGTGAAAGAGTAATATATAAATCTGAAAAGATACATATATATATAAAGGTTTATATTCTCGCAGCTTTTACTTCAGCCTCATGATTTTGTGACTAACTTCATCATTTGAAAATGTCTGGATGCCGCAACATTAGAAACCATAATCCTTTCATTTCTTTATCTGTTTTCTTAATGTTTTTCAAGCTTCATTAAGTGTTCTTAAAATATTTAGCTGAACAGAAAGGCGTACTGAAAATAAAGTTTCATTTTAACTAATTTTCTAGTGACTTTCTTTACTGCACCTACTAGGCCAAACACTATTAAGGCCTAACTACTAGGCCAAACACTTCTAACTCAAAGCCCACTGACAGAAATTCCACTAAAGCAAGTTTTTAGAATATTAAGCATTAATTTAATAGGATTTCTGTAATAGAGCTACTAAGTAGTAAACTCTTCACTAATTAAGGAGGTTCTTTTTCCCCCTCTTTCCTTCTCTTCCTTCCCAAAAGTGCTGTGCTTCTCACGGAATACTGTGACTTAAATCACAGTCAAATATACCTGAGTGTTTGGTTTTACACATGGTAGGGAAGAAAAAAAAACCCAAAACATATTCAGCAATAAACAGAAGATTGTAATACAAAAAATTTAGATGTAGAATAAAATACGTTTTTCTGTCTATTATACAACACTGGACACAGTCCTTGAAACTACACCTTGACAATTTGAAAAGCATATCATCACCAGCTTTACGCCCATCTTCAGTCACCCAAAAACTAAGTTGCTTTTCTAATAGTTATAAGCAGCCATTCCATGAATCTGAGATTTCTCTAAAACTTCTCCAGGTGAACCTGAAGATTTAAAGTCATCAACGTCTCTAGCTGCTTTGCAAATCTCTTCCCAAGATTCCTAACACTAAAAACCCCTTTTCCTTGAGTAATCCTATTCTTCTTATTTCACCTTGGCTACCACAGACCTGCATGTAGAGTCACTAATGGTTTCTATATGTCATGTCAGGGAATGTGTCTTCAGTGCTTCATCACAGCTGTGTCACCATTTGCTTGTTTGACCCAGAGCAGATGCTGCAGCGTCATAGCGCTATATATAGCACATCTCTACCATTTGTTGCATATTTAATCATTACAAAAATTGTTTATGTCACTTCTGAGGGATGTCTCCAGATGTTTTACAATGGTCAGGCACATACAGCTTGGCCCCAGATTTGCAGTGTGTTCATTTCAGCATAATACAGGAGCTTAAACTATTACAGCAAAGAAAAATAATTTTAGTAAGCAGAGCTTTTTCACTGAGATACTGACCAAAAACCTTACTGTTACTCGACACATGAACACCCATCTGACTTTCTTCAGAAAATAGAATTATTATTTCAAAATAAAACCCTATTCTAAAATCCCATGTACAGCACCCTCTGAATTAAAGTTAGATAGTGTCTTCCAAACACGTTTTATGACAACGGCTACCTCGGTCTTTCTACTGAAGGCTGAGTTTGACTGGCACAACAAATGTGTCTGACAAGCTGTGCTTGCTGCAACTGTCAGATGAGCTCCTGTCTGCTAGGAGTTTTTGCCTGCTCCCCTGAGAATGTGATACTGAGGCAAAGTGGAAGAAAATTCATCATTAAAGACGTTTGGGTTTGGACCACTGTTAACACTCACCCTTTGAAACACATGGCTTCAATGACAATATTAGTGCAAATACGGATCGTAAAAATGACTTGGCAGAATATTCTTTCGCACCATCTGTTTTAAACATATTTTCTCAACTAAGCACCACAGTAATTTCTTTGTAAGTGAGCTAAAAGGAAATAGCTCGGTGGAAACAGGGCTTAGCCTCTCCATCCTAGAATCACCAGGCTCTAAACATACTGAAGACAGGCTTCCCAGCCGTGCCAGTCCTGCTGCCTGGACTAGCCTCCTCGATAGCCACCATGAATATCATAGAATCATAGAATGGGTTGGGTTGGAAGGGACCTTAAAGATCATTCAGTTCCAACCCCCCTGCCATGGGCAGGGACACCCTCCACTAGACCAGGTTGCTCAAAGCCTCGTCCAGCCTGGACTTGAAGACATCCAGGGATGGGGAGGAAAAATTCAGTCTTCCCAGGAAACTCTTAGAGAAGAAAATTCAACATGTGATTAAGGCAACCCCAAAAAGCCTATCTGAGAGAGCAGCTCTTATGCACTCATTATTACTTAACCGTTCAGGTAGCTGCCATTAAATTGGAACAATTAAAAATCAGCCAGTGAGTGCTTGCTTAACAAGTTGCAACTCATTGCAAGAAAGGATGAAAGACTCTGACCTGTAAAAACATTCTACCTGTTTTGGCCACAAGCTCTCTTTCTACGTGTGCAGGGGATATAGCAGTAAGAACAGAAAACCAAATAAAATAACATAGTACTGTAGTTAATAGCCTCATTAAGACAGCTTAATGCAACCGACTAATTGTCAGCAAATTGAAAATAAGCAAACTAATGAAATGGCATAACTGTTTTCATGCTGGCACTTCCCTTGAAAACAGTTTATGGTAACATGCGTTCAGAGTAGCAAGGCATAAGAATGTGCAAGCACACCTCTACCAGAAAAAAGGCAACAGCTCTGAAAATACCATGAGAAATACTACAAAAGCTATGATCTTTCATTTCACTGCTAAAGCAACTCTCATGAAACGCAACTATCTGCAAAGAAGCACAGACACAAAGGAACTACACTGAACATGACACTAGGTCTCACAGGTTTCTCAGAATTCCCTTCAACTTGTGCACAGCCACAGATTTTTGCCAAAAATCTACATTAAAAAGGCGCACAAAACTACAGTAACTTACTTTGCAGCGATAGATGGAGATCGTCTATTTCGGAGGAAGCCTGCTCCTCTGTTGAGGGAGATGACAGCTTTGATGCCATATTAAATCCTATGGAGATTCTTTAATCAATTTCAAACTGAAATTATAAAAAAAAAAAAGAGACGACAATCAGTACAGTTTTACATTAAAACTGACGATATCAAAGACGCTCAACTGTGTGCAGAGACGTGTTTGGGTTTGAGTTTTCTCCCCTTGGTAGGCTGTGTCCTTAGCTCACACAGAATAAACCAAGTGTTCCTATTGCGTCAATCCAAGTTTTAGTCCCTCGTCTAGCAGTGGCCAGCAGCACTCTACAACCCAAACCACGGATCCCAGTGTGTCTTGCCATGAAAAGAGAAGCACTAGGATCAGGAAAATGCAGGGTTTTTTGCTTTCTTTAAGAAAGCCAGGTTGACAGAGGCTCCCTGTGCCTTCTGCAAATTTATTGCCACCAAACCTCAAAGGTTTTCTTCAAATCTTTGTACTTTTCAGGTATCTCTTCCTGTCCAGGTAATTGCTGCCAAATGGAAAAAATTTAGGCGGAATCTGCAAATATTAAGATGAAATGAAGAAGCAGAGGTTATCGTATGAGAATAATCACAACTGCTGTCTCCGTCTGGTACCTTTGTTACTCTTCATCCACCATGAATGACTTTCTTTTTGCAACTCCCCCATTTTCCTCTCCCTGAATACCTCCCCAATCTCTAATATATATATATAGCAACTTTATGCTATATCTTTCTTAAAAATCCACCATTGTTTCTGGTACTGCAGTAGCTATACTTTTCAATTTGCCACTGAAGGAAAAACTGGATACTTAGGTACAGACTCATTTTATCAAGAACATACAAGTTAAAAAATTTCAAAAATCAATAAAGCTGAAAATTAAGTAAGGGCTCACCATAAGCAAGCTTTGCTGCCTAAAAAAACCTTCTCATCAGAAGCACAAGGATTTACACACCATATATTAATGTCATCTACCAAGTACATGTCAAAATCAAGGGCATGAATAGATGAGTAAGGAACACCAGAGAAATGCTTAAATTCAGTCCCTTGTGCACATGAATCATGAGGCAGCCTTTGTTTACTCCACTATATACTATTTTTCCTCCCTCCCCACCTCCCTCACTGCACAGAAAGAACAACAGGCGTTTAATGAGGAGCCATTCAATATTTTGTTTTCCTCACCCTGAACAATGTGTGTCCTTGTGCTTTATCCAAGAGCTGCTCTGATGACAGGATTATTAAGTCCTCAAAACATTTTTTCTGGCACTCATCACGCCAGCATCTGAATGCTTCACAAACATCAATCAATTCACTTTTACAGCACCCACGTGAGATCAGGGGTTACTGAGCACCTTCAGAGTCACAGAACGGTTGGGGTTGGAAGGGACCTTTAAAGATCATCTGCTCCAACCCCCTGCCATGGGACATCATTTTACCGATGACAAGCAAAGGCACAGAGAGAATAAATGGGAAAAAAGTTGCTAATTTGACTCTGGTTTTCCAAAGAAACACATATTAGTTGATACAGACGAAGCCCCGATTCCAACCACTGCAGTGAGTGGGCAGCATTCCTCCAAGCCACCAGCAACTTAGAACTCAAGGCACCAGATTGAAGAAAGGGCAGTCCTAGCTGGGGCAGATGAAGATGAGAGCTATCCAAGAAAAGACAAAAAAATACTTCACGAGAGTTTGACTTGCTTAGCCTAGCAAAAAGAGGAGGAAAAGGACTAATTTGATCTTTGACAGGCACAAGAACAAGAGGATATAAATAAGCCATGCCTTGAGGTTAGGATGGTAATCAGAAGAGTTCTAAAAACTGGGTTCTACCAAAGCCTCCCAATACAGGCAACTGGCACAAAGGCTTTATGTGACCTTAAGATGGGAATTGTGCAGAAAGTGCTTGGTTCTTTTTATTGAAGGGACACTTGGACTCCCAGCCCTGGAGAGCTCTCAGTTGGTTCTCCGTTCTCAAGCTACAAGTATGACTCTCAAGTCAAACAGCCAAAATAATAACCACCCAATTAGCTACCACTGATAAAAGTTGGGGTTTAAGTGACAGGACTAGCATCTCACTGGAACTGAGCAAGAACCAGTTCTCCCAGCAGCCCTGCCTATGCCCGAGGTGATGCAATCTTTCCTGGGAAACTCCTTCCTTTTTCTCTCAAGATCAAACAATACAAAACCAAGTCTAAAAATGCAAAATGGCAGGTGTCCTCAATATCTTTTGGGTATCACTGTACATCTTGAATCTGATTTTGTGATCGCCACCTTGAAGGCTACTAACGAAGCAGCAAGACCCAATTTGGGGGGGGGGGGTCTAACCCTAACCCTAAGCAAAATTCAAACCACACCATCAGTTCTGTTGCTTGTTGCTCCCAGGACAGAGGGAGAGTTAGTGGGCTACATGTGTACATTCCTATGGTTCTGGAGCATGTACTCAACACCAGTAGCAATGCATGCTCTTCTCTTCAACACAAGTTTATTCTCACCTTTTTCATTTTATTTCAAACTAAACACTGTTTAAGGATTTTTCTTTTAAAGGCACAAAAGCAGCACAACATCTCCAGTCAGCGAAAGCATACACATCTGTTCGACTTTGACACATCCAGGTTTGAGAGGTGACACGAGCAGAGCCAAGTCATGTTCATCTAATCTGCACGATGCTAAAGTCATTGGGAACATAGTCCAGAGAGAGGGAACAGGATTTGGCATTAAAATTCCACCGTGATAACAGGAAAAAAATGCAAGAGCTATGAACAGCATTAATGGAAGTTTCACAAACAAAACAAAAACCATTTTCAACCTTTCTGTGACTGTTCCTCCTCTGACCCCATCCCTTGCCAGCTGCAGCAGCTACACAGTACAGATTGTCTCCTTTTTATGTCCTTGTACTGCACTTCATGTGATGGGACCCTAGTCTCAGTTCATATCTCTAAGCATCAAAGTAGCTGAAGTTTCAGGTTTTTAACACAGAAAGTATGTTAAGCTTTAAACCATTAACTTAAGTTACTTAATTTATCAATTAATTAACATAAAATATGGCACAGGATCACAGAACATGTATAAATGAAAAAAAAAGCGTATGTTCCTATTTTATTTTAAGGTGAAAACAAGGTCTCCTTCACAAAAGGATGGGTTTTTTTAATATATATTTGTTTAATGCAGAAATCCACTAAACAAATCCACAGGGCAGGTTATAAAAATGTGCAGCTGATACAATATAAGCTTATGCTAAAGCTTTCATGCCCCTGAAGCCCTCTGTTCACCATCCAACACAACACATATATTTTCCCCTGCCTCCAATCCCTGCCCTGACCCAACAGGAGCCTCCAGACCTGCTCCGAAAGGGAGACCCACACACACAGTCTTGGAGGACATACCTACAAGGATTAGTATTCTTTACAAGGTACAGATTGTCTGAGAAGGGATTATACAGGAACAATATGCTAGTCCCTCTGCCCTCTGAATTTCATTCAATCAAAGCATATTAAGTGTAACTATATCATATCCACCTCTGAAGAGTCTAGAACCATCAAGCTATTGGTAATATTGCTTAGCAATGCTTGACATAGGCATTAGGAACATTCATCTTTTCTGCTTGGTATTTAAATCAATTCTTTTGTTTCATAACAAACCTGCAGAGCTAAACCAAATCCTTCATTTCCATGAAATGCTGCACAACTATGAAATACACACCCATAGTGCTGAAAATAAACCAAATGCTTGCAAATGACACAATGCCTTTTCAGTGGGGATAAAAATCAAAGATGAAGACAGTGACCTTGTATTTCCCTCTTTCTGGAGAGTCTGGCATTAACACAGGAAAGCATTTAACTGCTTACACCTTGAGATAACCGGTGGAGTAACCTACAAAGTTTCACAAAGAGAGAGGTTCAGGAATGTTTAGACCTTGTTTCCAAAGGATTTGTTTCCTGTTGATTAACTTATGTGGATTTAATCAGAGCTGTTGTGTGAACTCATCTTTTCTTCAGCATGGGAGAAGTCACACAAGAGAGGTGCATTATGGACATCCTTGAGAGAAAAGCTTTCCACTGGTATCCTCCAAAGGAGTAAATTCTTGACCAACCCAGGCTCGACCTGCAGCTGAAATGGTTCAACCATCAACAAATGCTTTTTCTGTTATCAGGGCATTCACAAGACTCAAAACCAGGCTTTCCTCTAGTGGGTATGGGTAAAGTACTTCGTCCCTTCCCCCTCCAGCTGTTCTCACAATGGGCAGCTAAAAACAGAGGTGGAAAGTAAATCAGCAGAGTCGTATCACATCATTTCAATTTAACTTCCTTGGAATCTCTCTTCCTTTCCCAAATTCAGCTGAGATTAACTAGCATATTAAAAAACATAGAGCCACAGGCACATTGACAGTGCAGGTAGCAGACTAGAAATCTCAAGGAACTAACCTGAAAATAATCATTCCAGAGATTTCGTCATGGGAATAGCCAACATTGATTTAAATACCATGTCTCCAGTGAGGCTTAAGCCCCAGTGACACCTAAGAAAAGCTCTTCTTAAGCAGGGTCTTTACAAGGACATTCTTGTCTCAGAAGAAAGGGGGAAAAGTAGTTTCAGCTGGATTTGGAGAATTTATTAGCCAGCGTTTCATAGCCTTTACATTACGGTTTGGATCAGGATGGTTTGCAAACCCTGTCTTTCAGCTGCTTTAAGTACAAAAAAATTGCAGTTATACAGTATATGCTCCCCTCAAGTGAAACTGCTCCTGTTGCCAAAAGAACACATGTAACTAGAGTTAAAATACAAAACGTGTATTTCATTAATTATTTGTGGTTACTTCTACAAAACATCTGTGCACACCAATCAGGAAGGAAGATACACTAGTTGGTGCGATTTCCACACTGTCCCAGGTAAGACCCTTCCTTTGCAGCCTCCGAGTTCACAGCTCAGTCCCGCACACTGTCCCGCAGCCCGCCGCACACATGCACCCTCACATCCCTCCCCGCAAGCCAAACTCAAAAAATCACGTGCCATGAAATTAGCTCAGGTGTGTGCTCCTTAAAGCTAAAAGCAGCAGATAACCTG